CCCATATTGGGCTCTCTGCTCAGCGGGGAGCCTGCTTCCTCCTCTCTCTCTGCCTGCCTCTCTGTCTACTTGTGATCTCTGTCAAAAAAATAAAATCTTAAAAAAAAAAAACAAAAAACAAAGCAGAAACGAAAAACAGAAGTTCTTCCTCACCATCTATACAATGGATCAAAACCAGAGTTGAAATCTGCATTTAAAAAGCCAAAAGAAAATGTGGAAAGACTATAAACAAAAAGCAGAACCCAGAAGCAGAGTGACCACACACCCTGCATTGACCACACTTGGTTTAGGCCTGTTGCTCCTGAGTTCCAACCAATTAGTGCCTGTCTTCACTACCAAAAGCATCTCATTTGGATGATAAATTATATGGGAACCCCTATAGGGAACTGGTGTTATCAGGAACCCCTTACCACCTTTGATCGCCTACAGCCAGAAGTCTAAATGCCTTGGTATGTTATGAAGGCTTTGACTCTCCAGTCAAAACTCTCCAGCACACCCACCATATGCTAATCACACCTGATTGCTTCAGTGCCCGGAAGATAAGGAGCATTGCTCCTGCCATTGCTTTCCTTCTCTGCCCCATCCTACAGATGGCATTTCCTTCACAAGCATCAAGACCTCCACTAGATTCAGTATAACTCTGTTAACTCTGTTCCCTCAGTACAAAACAGGCGAAATACGACTTTCCTTGGTAAGATTATATACGGCGCATGAAGACTGGTGCCAAGTATTGACCCTGGCACAGGGTATGCAGGTAAAAAGTAGTAATTTCATTTTAGTGGTGATCATTTCCAACCAGAGCAGATCAAGCTAGAAAAAACCATGACTCCTCCCTGCTCCCCAAAGAGGTAAGCCCCACCTGGATTTATTTTGCTTTTTTATGTCCCTTACTCTCTCCTGGGGAAAGATGCCAAGACCTCCACAGAGTAAATATTATTCTCCTTCCAAATCCTGCTTCTTTGCTTTTCTAATTATCACCAATACAAAGGTCAACACGAGGAATATGGCAAGAAAGACAAGGACTTACAACTCAAGATAGACTTTGGTCAAATAAGGAAGAACTTCTTGACGGCCACTCTGATTCAACTAGGAACACACTCCAGGAATTCTTGGCAAAATGTCAATAGGGAGAATTCAAGCCTGGGGAAGGATTACATGGCCTTTTGCTGGAACCGTGAATCCTTAAGTGAAATACGCCTTGAGCAAAACACTCCCTCACAATCAATAGTTGGTTCTTGGTGCTCCATCACCAAGCAGTGGAAACGGACTGACAAAATGACTGTCGTGAGCATCTTTAGCAGAAGGAAGAGGAGTAAAGGAATGTTCCCTTCGAGATTTCTTCATCAGAGGAAACAAGGCACAGACAGCTAGGCAGTATCAACAGCAACGAATGGGATCACGATGTTTCCATTAAATAGCACAGAGCTGTTGGAACTTTAAAACAAAATACAGCCTGTGCTCATAGTTGTTTTTATTATAGAGAGGCAGGATCGCATGGAGGTAAAAACAAAAGACAGGAAAACCAGGACGCCCGGGTGGCTCAGTGAGTTAAGCCACTGCCTTCAGCTCAGGTCATGATCCCAGGGTCCTGGGATTGAGTCCCGCATCGGGTTCCTTGCTCAGTGGGGAGCCTGCTTCTCTCTCTCTGCCTCTGCCTGCCGTTCTGCCTGTGTTCTCCCGCGCTCGCTCTCTCTCTCTCTCTCTGACAAATAAATAAATAAATAATATCTTAAAAAAAAAAAAAAAGACAGGAAAACCCCACATGAGCTCTGGAACCAGACTGCCTGAAATGTTTTCTAGCCTCTGTCCTTATCTAGCTGTGTGGCTCTCGGCAAGTTACCTCATCTCCCCATACCTCACGTTTCACCTCTGGAAGGTGAAGATAACAAAAAGAAATGGTACCTATACTCTGTGGGGCTGTTTTTTTGTTTGATTTGGTTTTTTGGTAAATACTAATTCCTCAGGTAGAGTAGGGCTGGGCACATGATTAATGGTACATAAGTATTTGACAACGAAAAATATTAAGACTCAGTCCTCAAAAGTAGCATACGTACAACCTTGCGCTGAAAAATTTCTACCGGTGTTGCCATGATACATCTCAAAGATGTCTTTACTTTATGTTGACTCCTGGGAGTCTGACTTGTTGACCAACACATCTTTTGTTGATCATGGGAACTGAACAGGTCTGAAACCCAGAGGTCATTCTGACATGGTAAAATGGAAACTGAAGGTTTCTAACAAAATTAATTAAACCTTAATCATCATCCCACAATAAATGAAAGTAAAACATATTACTGAGTCACTTCCTAAGCTGTTGTATTTGATTGGAAGGCACCTAACGTGATAGGAGTGTACCTAGGTCTATCTTCTGCCACACAGCTCAATACACTGGTCTTAGCTTAGTGAATTCACCACGGCTCTCTCCGCTCCTCAGTTCTGAAGCCTCGATGGCTTTGCACCATATTCATTCATTCATCAGTTACTTAATAAGCATCTACTTTGTGCCAGATACCAGGACAGGTAATGTGGACCAAATGGACAACATGTCATAACAGTCCCTGCTGGCCATCACAAAGCTGACCATCTGGCAGAAAAGGCAGATGTTAAAAACCAAATGTGCACACACAAAGCCTGATGATCAATAAATGAATTTACAGTGGGAAGAGCTTCGAGTAGATTAGATTTATTTCTATAAGACCAAGTCATGTCTTCCATCCAATCATTATGACTACACAGGATTCAGAAGAATACATTGTATAAATAATATTAGACATCACCTTGACAAACATCTGATTGTTGAGGATTGTGAATTCCCTATTCTAAGCTTTCCAACCACCCATCCCCTCACCCCACCCGTTCTTCCACTCATGCTGCTTTTCTAAAAAAGGCTACAGTCCATTTAGTTTCTCCTTCTCATATTACAATCATATACATGTCTTACTTCACCAAATTTCTTCACCTATCACCCTGATTGGAGTTTTCCATGTTCTAAAATTTCTTCCATCACACCCCTATAAAAAATGTTATTCATTCCAGAGATAGTTACACATATTCAATCCTCACAGAGGCTACTAGTTTAAACCTCAGAGGGCAACATTAATCCTGTTATTTTCATGTTTGGGGTTGGCACGGTGGTGTGGGAGAGGCATTCAGGGGCGGATCTACACCGAAGCTATTGCCCCATAAAGCCTCAAAATAATTCTCATCTAACCTGTAAAACGATCCAATGAAGCACAGAAGTTAATTTTATATGAATCATGAAAACTCACTACACACCAGAAGGTGCTACACATTGTACAAAGGGCAAAATTAAAACAAGAACTTGGTAGGTTCATAGTTTAAGATCATTGTTTACTGGTGTTTCTGTGAACTATAAGCAGCACTCGAGATGGTAATAGAAGAAGTACACCCATATGAAAAGTTTCAACCAACATTCAGAACATCAGTAAATGAACAACTATTTCAGTCGACGCAGAAGTAAAACATCTCATGTTATTTCATTTCACACAAAAATGATAATCATGGTAAACTAAGACAGGGCTTCTGTTGTGTCAGCCATTTCAAGGTTTTGTTTTTATTCTTGGAGGTCTACTAGAGGACCACAAGCAGGATACTCAGGTATGAACTCCTGGATGCATTCGCCCTTACCAAAATGGATGGGACTGATGCATTAACCAGAATGTTAGCTTAGTTAGCCATAATTAGGGCTCCCTTCTCCAGTGGCTCAGATTAATATGAGTCCCAGAGTTTCCAAGGAGCCACACAATCCAAGTTATACTCATTCAACACTGCTCTACAAATTGATGCAATGAGCATTACAGGAACTTTCCAGTGAATTTCCACGGGAAAAGATGAAATGCTCAAGATTTTTAGATATTTTCAAATGGTGATCAAACATTAATCTGAATGTAGCCTGTGGAAAAAAATGTAATTCAAGAGGGTAATTATTTAAACAAATTTTCACTGGGTGAACTTCTATTTTTTATTTAAAAAAAAAAAAAAAGATTATTTGAGAAAAAGAGTGGGGGGGGGGGTGGAGAGACGGAGAGACTGTCCCAAGCAGACTCCACACTGAGCACACAGCCCAATGCAGGGTTCGATCTCGCCACCCCGAAATGATGACCCAGACTGAAACCAAAGGTCAGCTGTTTAACCTACTGCACCACCCAGGCACCCCTCGCTGGGTGAACTTTTAAAACAGGTACTCTAAGCTCAAAAAGAAATGTTCTGTGTTTGTCTTCTTGGGTACATGGCCAGGAGTCAGCACAGGGTCTGGAACATATGAGGTACTCAGAACTATTTTCTGAGTACATATATGAATAAATATATTCCCCTGATCCTTCCCATGCATTTACATCTAAGAAAAACAACAGTGAAAGGCAGAAGTTACTAGAGTGTATGGAAAATAAAATCTTCCTCTTCACCTTGAAATATGAATTTTCCGCCACTAAAAACAGAAACTTAATGAAAACATAAGTTTCCATTAAGATGGTCACAGAAGTGCTATTTTGTGCAGCAAATCTATACAAAACCTTAGCATGTTTACCTCCATATTTGTTATTACAACTACAGAATGTGGAAGATAACTTATTTAGAAAGAGTCTCAGAAAAACAACTATATGTGAAAGCATATTCATATTATATAAAAGCACTTACTTTCTGAATATCTGTAATAAAGAGACCACAAGGCAAAAATAACATGATTTGGGCTATAAGGAAACCCTTTGAAAGCTGGTATTTTCAATACTTGATAGCTAAACTCATTAATGACCTCTTTCACATTGTATCACTTACAGCGCATCACTGAGACATTTCCCCAAAACCAATTCTGCAACTGTAGAAAGAGCTGTGTGCTGACTTCATCCTAGGCATTTGTTATAAAGTGCCTCATCCCCCTTTTAATTCCTATATGTTCATCTGCCTACCACTATTATAAATATGGTTTTATATAAAGACAATGATATTCCATAAAATAAGTTAACGGTCAAGACAAAACTTACCAAGCACAATGACCACCGTCTTCAGAAGACTCATCATGGTATCCCGATTCCGCCGGGGTCCAGAACTGTGCCGAGACATTCTCATAGTCCTCTGGCGAACATAGCCAAAGATATGCGCATAGAGAACCACCATGACGACAAAGGTCACCAAGTTGAAAATGGCCCAGAAGACTAAGTAAGAGTCACTGTAGAGGGGCGCCATGTTGGAACAATTTTCGATATCACAGATGCAGTTCCAGCCCACACTGGGTATAGCGCCCATGACAATGGCCATAGTCCAGATGACCACAATCACTACCACCACCCGCCGGTTGCTCATCCGGGTGTGGAGCTGCATGCGGAAAACCGTAATGTGCCTCTCGATTGCAATAGCCAGTAAGTTGGCCACAGATGCTGTCAGGCTGGTGTCAATGAGGCCCTGGCGGAGGAGCCACGTGCTGACAGTCAGTCTCCGAGTGTTGGGTCCTGTGTTGAACATTAGGTAGAAATAAGCCAACCCAGCAAAGAAGTCTGCAGCAGCCAGATTGGCCATTAGGTAATAAATAGGAAAATGGAAGCGGCGGTTGACATAGATTGCTACCATGACCAGTAGGTTGGCCAACATGATGAAGATACAGACAGTGATTCCAAGTCCCATCACCAGCTTGCTGACCGTGTTCCATTCTGTGGCGAGATACTTTCCACTCCGGTTATAAAAGAAGGCGATGGACTCATTGTAGAAGCACTGTGGTTCATTCATGGCTGTGAACTAAAAGAGAAAGGAAGATGAAAAAGAAAGAAGAAACCACAGATCCAAATTTAAAGATGTACAGTATGGTAAATGTGGCAAAAAAAAAAAAAAAAAAGAAAGAAAGAAAGAGAAAACCTACACACACACACAGACACAAAGGCAAAGAATCTGAAAATCTGACCCTGCATAACATTCTATATTATGTTGAAAACCCAAGGCTCTTCAGTGTCTTACTGTCCTCAAGATTAAAGACAGCTGGAATTAAATAAATGACAAGGTCTGTGCTTAGTGGTAGCAGGTCATTGAAGTCTACTAGAAAAGCCACATGGCCCAGAAATCTTGCTTAAAATACATGAGACAGATGAAAATTGAGCAGAGATTGCAATTGGAGTATTTACCGTCGTAAAACCTACATTGACCTGTTATTTAGGGAATCTGTAAACACAGTTGGTTTATAGACAGGGTATTATTGCTCCATTATTCTGCATTTCTGTTCTCACATAGTATGTTCGATCTGTGACAAACACTTTGTAATGCAAGTCCCCGCAAGGACCATCAGTACCAACATTTCAGAGAGGTCACCATGCATCAAAGCTGCTCTGCCCAAAGCCAGCATTTGCTGTTCGACATTCCTGTGGTCAACACTGTCTACCCCCATGACTCCTTATCCCCAGAATAGCATTTGTCGACCAATCTATGACGTTGGAGAACTTTTTTCTCTTCGGAGGACATAAAAAATATGTTACCTAATGTAACCTCCAATGTAATCCAAAATGTAGTTGACACTTTGACGCTGCTCTACAAAAAGTGAAGTGTACTTCAGGTTTTTCCAAAATGTGAAGTAAGGATGTTTTATTATGTGTTCTTATTTTTCAGCAATTAGATACACTCATTTATTAATTATACTCACTTGAATCCTAAAGGGGCTGAACAAGTTTGTAACATAATATAGGTAGTCAATAAAAGGATTAAAATTAGAAAATAGTAACATAAAATAGAATGTGAAAATTACACATCAAGTAGAAAAAGTGATTCTCCTGAAGCCTTGAGTTTGTGTGAGACTCCTAGAATCAGAAATTATTTAAAGACACTCACATCCTAACTTTTTATCTTTTATGTTTAACCAATGACTTAGCAAATATGACAGTTTTAACCACTATTTTTGATCCAATGTTATACTGACTATCCATAGGGTATACAAAAATTTTAATAAACACCAAACATTACAAGAGCGTAAGATGCTTATTAAATGGTTACTATTCTGACTTGACCATTTAGTCTCTCCTCCTTTAGACTTTAAGACCTTTTAGATCATGTTTCTATCATTACCCTTACCATGTATATCATTATTTATCAGCTGTCTGTTTCTTAAGGAGATCATGGCCCAAGAAAAGAGTGAAGACCTTGTCTTACACACCCTGGTAATCTTGTTTACTTTCCAAAAAGTCTCATTCATTGGCGATCTGAGAACCTGGTTTGTCATGTCCCACTCTACCCCAAATCATGCCAGTCCTCTGGCTATTTCATCTAATTTTCTTGCCTCTCAGTTTCTTGACCTCATCCCTAATGACCTTCTATTTCATTATAACTCAGCTGCCCATTCCCATGGTCACACCCTGAACTTTGTAACCACTCAGAACTATCTCCCTTTGGAAATAAATTATACACTTTAATTACTCACCACACCTGCCATTTTCCCAATTTTCTCATTTGATCCCCAATACATCAATTCTTTGAAGTCATCTATTTCCTTACGCATCCTACCTTTCCCCACTGGATACTCTCGCTATCTTCTCCCTTTCCCTATACAGCTTAGATTTCATAGTATACATTTCAACCTCTTTATTGCTAAGACAGAAATACATTCTCTCCTTGAAGATTCTGAGGTCAGATCCTTCAAAACTCAATTTTTTTTCTGGTTTTAAGAACAGTTACGCAGTAGATAATCCTTAGATGATAAAATATCCCCCAACAAAATTTGAAGCCTCATTCCATAATCATACACATTATTTTCTATAGCAAAATATATTAACATATACATTAAATTTGATAAATAAAAGTTATAAATAGCCTCACATAAATTCATTCTGAGGTATTGCCACTAAGTGAATTATGAAAAAGTCTTCAGTTTTCAGACCTTGAATATTGTAACTTCAGATAAGGAAGAAATGACCTTTCTCCTTTAGCCTACTTGCCTCACTGCCCTTCCATGACCAGTCTCTTGAAATAACACCAGTCTTGGCTGAATGCAACTGGATGTCACTTCCACATCTATACCAAGGCTTCTGAGAAACGTTCAAGAAAATTGACATATCTGGGAGATTGTTTCTGATCTAAATTCATGACATCTAACCTCAATGGAGACTTCAGGAGCACAAGGGGTTTGATTTTCCCATCATTCTCCCTCTTCTCCACAGTGGCTAATTTAAGCTTACCTAGTGTTCTCTTTGATGAAAAACAAAATCACCTATTCAAGAATCCATCCTTTCTTCCTCTTCTGTTACAATGGAAGGGATCTACCTTCCATCCAAGTGTTGTGAACTCCTACACCTGACCTCCAGCCTCAACCCAAACTGCTAATGACTTCCAGCCCTCTTCTTTAGCTCTACGTAATGTGATGTGCTCTCCCTCATCTCTGCTTCTCAGAACAGTGTTTTTTCTATCAAGATCACTTGGAGGGTTTCTAAAACATGGATTGCTGGCCAGATCCCGAAATTACTGATTCGGCAGATACAAAGTTGGTCCCCAGGTGATACTGATGCTGCCGGTCCAGAGACCACACTGTGACTCCCACTGGCCTAGAACAATCATCCCCCAGTTTTCACCTGGCTCCCTTGCTCTCATTCTTCATGCAGAAAGGAAACCATCAGTTTCCCTAGACATTCCCAAGTCTACGCAAGGTGTTTTCCGCTACAGTTCACTGCATTTATCCCACAATAACACTCAGCACACTGTATAATAATTGCTCAATTAACACGTCCTCATAATAGGCCATAAACCCTATGAGAGCCAAAATCCTAACTTTCTTGCTCATTGTTGTACAGCATTCAACTGTTAGATTAGATACTAACTATATGTTGGTTGCATTAATAAATGCCAGAAATGTTTACAAGTTTCCTCTCTGCAAAGGACATACAGTACATAAAAATATAAATTCTAACTAGAAATGCAAAACTCTCTCTTCCCTTTAGCCCCTATAACCATTTACTTTCTCTGGACAAATCCATTTTTAAATCAAACACCAAGCACACAGTATTTCATAGTGTTCCAACTTTGTAAACACCAGATCACATTTAATGACATAACTTACATGACTGTTTGAACCCCAGTTTTATCATCTGTGAAATAAGAAAACTGAGCTAGATTATTATTATCTGTATCAAGAGAATTCTGGATAAGAACTTAACATTTCATAAAAACTGCAAGCTAAATATTAAGACAGCCCAAAATATGCCTGGAATGGAAATAGTAAGGATAGAATATACCTGAGAAAAAGAGGGAATGTCAGCTGAATTGAGGGTAACAGGACTGAACTGAAAGAAGAATGAAATCTCCTCTCTTTTCATCTGCAAAAAGGAGGCCTGGAGTATAAGTGAAGGTGACCCCGACAAAGCCACCAACGGGGTAGAGTCAACCGGCTTTCTCACTTCTTCAGGACCCAAGGGACTTAGGCAGAAACCCAAATCAAGCTCAGGGAGAATCTAACTCAACTATGATTGGACTATAATACATTCAGGCAGTCATGCTTGTAACAATACAGCAAACAGAAAAAAAAAAACAATCAAATACAGTAAGACAAAAATGCAACCTCAGAGGAGAGGACCATTCTGAAGAATAGAAAATACCCACCTTGAGCAAATTTATTGGGGGAGGAGGGGAGGTTAAAAGAAAAAGATTAAGTTATAGGACATTTCTGATTTGTATTCTCAAAGTACTTTGTTAGGGTACTAGCACTGAAAACAGAACAAGCCATGGTGAACACAAAAAACAAAAATAAAAACAGTAAAAACTACATGGAGATTGTAGTTTCCTACTGCTACTGTAATAAATCACCACACAGCTTAAATACAAATTTATTACTTTGTACTCCTGGAGGTCAGAAGTCCAAAGTGGGCAAAAATCAACATGTTAGCAGAGCTGTGTTCCTTTCCAAAGGTTGCACAGTGACTTTTTCTTGTCTTTTCCAATTTCTAGAGACTGTCCACATCCTTTGGTTCTTGGCCCCCTTCCCTGAAAGCCAGCAACAGCCAATCAAGTCTTCCTCACACTGTATCATTCTTATACCTACCATTCCCATCCACTCCCCCTTTCCACATTTAGGGACCCTTGTGCTTACACTTAGACTACCCAGATAACCTAGGATCATCTCCCCATGTCAAAATCCTTAACTGAATCACATCTTGTCCAGTAAAGTAGAATATTTACAGGTTCCAGAGGTTAAGTAATGGACATCTTTGAAAACCACTATTGTGCCCACCAAAGATGAAAAACAACTTCTGAATTAAAATCAGCAATTCAAACAATGAAACAAAGTTGAAAATTCCAGAAAACATGAAATGGCAAGTTGAAGACATATTGAAGAAATTCACTCAGCACTCAGAGAAGATCAGAGATGACAAGAGTAAAAGGAAAGGAGGCATAGAGAGGGAAACATCTAGTTACTAGGAATCCAAGAAAGATCAGGACAAAGCTGAGTAAGATAGCTTGAAATGGAAGTTACTGCTTAAGAACAAAGACCTCAGATTACTGGTTTGCATTTGTGTAAATTACATAACAGAGTTAATTAAAAGCAACCAGAATTTAGATATAACTTGGTTAGATTTTGCAATCTCAAGGGTAAAGATAAAAATTCTTTAGGTATAAAAAGAAAAAACAAAAAAATAAACAAAAAGCCAACAAATCAAATACCTAGAGAAAGAGAGACAAAATAGGGTATTGCCAAGCTACTGCGACAGAAGAATTCCAAAGGACAGAACACAACCAAACCAAATCTCCATTAAATAGAGAAAATGAAGTCC